AGCCTATAATTTCGTAAATTTGTGTTTACAATAAAGCACTGGGGACTAATGCAGTAATTACATTCTCTATTGGCAGTACAGCTATATGGAGAGTGCACACAATCAAGAAAATAAAGTTAAATTTAGCATACACTCTTAATTTCATGGCAAAAAAAAGTATTCTACAAAGTGCTCTTCACATCAATAGGGCGGAAACGTAGCTTCTTAATTACATTTTGTGTTAATCCTCCATCTAGACCAGGATTATCCAAGATGTGGCCCTCCATATGTTGCTGAACTAAATCTCCCATAATCTTTGAATGAAATAGATAGCCAGAAAATCATGGGAGTTGTAGTTCAGCAACATCTCGAGGGCTAGAGTTTAGAGAACCCTGATCTAGACTAAGTGCTACAAGAGAATCATGGAGAGATACAAGTAAATGTTAAAGTCATTAATTTAACAATAAGTAGAATTGTATACGAAAGTTTAAACTCTCAGTCTAAAACCTGGGGAGAGTTTGTTTTCACTATACTACCCTGGTGCATCCAGTGGGGCACCAAGCAAGTCCCCCCACCATGTTTGGGAAATTTATATTACTATTATTAGCATTTCCACAGTGCTTTACAATTATACAGTGGGGTTAATTAAAACAAGCCATTGACAGACGATCAAACGATCTTGACAGGCACAAGAGGTGAAGAAGCCCCAGCTCAAATGACTTTGCAATCTAGCTCAGGTGATTGCTGATGCGAATATCCATTTTGCTCTATATCCTAACTGTTCATGTAAGGGTTAATTTGAATCAAGAATAAATTTGGAATTGTATCTCATGTCACAATGACTTATCTATTTACGGGAAATGTTATTGGAACATGATTTTGTTATTTACATGACATGACATGACATGATAAGGTTTCTGGAATGACCTTGTTAATTGTCCAAGATTTCGGTATTTGTAATCATCTGGGTTTTATCCAATATGCATACATTATGTAACATCGAATTATAACTAAAAACAGATGTTTATAACTTGTGAAAAACAATGTCATTGTCACGCCCATATGGTCATTTTTCCCCCTCCCATCCTGCTATGAAAATGGGTTATAAATATAACTGACGTATGAATACAATTTGAATTGGTTATTGAACACGTCTCTGCTATTCATTTCCAATTTCCAGAGCTCTGTATGAGTTGGCAAATATCCATCATCCACAAAGGGCCCAGGCTGATTTTATCCCCAACAAATTGGTGTCAGAAGTGGGATTCGAACCCACAAATTGGTGTCAGAAGTTTTTTGGGAGCAATTGGGAACGGATTAGCAGGTAAGGGGGTCTTTAGCCCCTTGGGGACACAACTTCTGGAATTTAAGGGTATCATGACGGAGTATTTCTGTCGTGTGTCCTTAAGGGGTTGGGGACCTTTGCCTGCTTCTGCCATCCTCTCACACATTGCATTTCTTGTTTTAATGGGGTTTTTCACTATTTACATTTTTAAAGGGGATTTTCACAGGATAATGTCTTTGATAGACATGGTATTTTGTTAAGTCTTAGGTAGACTTCAATTACTCCATGGGTTGGAGGATTGCCTTTGGTAGGTAGTAGTAGTTATTGTGCACATTTCCTCTTTGGTAAGAGGTTCACCTTTGGCCAGGTGTTAAAAATAATTTCAAGCCTTTGGTAGGCTGTGATGTCCTGTGATGTACATTTACATATGGGAGACGTCCCTAGATCCCTCTTTGGTAGAGGTTGCCTTTGGTAGGTTGTAAAACAGATTTCCAGTCTTTGGTGGACTGTGGTATTTATTTAACGTAGATGTAAATTTGGCAGACTAAAATGGTTTAAAAAAAAAAAAGGGGGTTAAAAGGTATGATGGATGTTTGGCATTACTCCGGCTTGCTAATTTATGTGCTATTTTATGATGTGCAATGCTGATTTTAAGCATAAAGTCTTAATTGAGGGAATGTCAAAAGTACATGTAAAGATGATGAATAAGAAAAAACTAGAAGTTATTTAAGGGGGGCTACAAATTCTAGAACTAACATGATTTCTCTGCATGTATGTTTGTTTGCATAATGAGCCCCTTATTTTTATACTTGGTCAAAAGTACTATAAGCCCACTACACTTTTTCATGAGAGTGGGATGTATGATTGTTTATATGATGAGCCCTTTATTTTCATATTGGGACAAAAAGTCACTTCATTCAAAACGTCAAACACCACATTCTTTCTGCCCTGAGTGTTTGTTGTAAATTTAGATGATTATAAATTAGAGAGCAAAATGTATATTTTCAGCGTTCCAACACATGCTTCATATTGTGCTGTAAGCTAACTTGTAGTATTCCAGTACGTCACATGTTGTATGTGCTTTAAATTGTATGTATTCTGTAAATTGTTGTATGGGAATGCTGAGATTTTATTGCTTGCGACCCAAACTGTGTAGAAGTGGGTTTGAAATTTTGGTCATGGAATGTAGGATCAGAAAACCATGGACAAAGGTTTTTACCTGTGTTGATATGACTTTTGGAAACTCAAATTGACCGGTCAAAATTTTGCCATGCCTTTAACATGGAGTAGTATGAATATTTTGAGTCTTTGAGAGTTCTGACAAATGCAGGTGATACCATGTCTGTGTAATCTGGTCCAAATGTTCTATAAGCGTATAAGAGAGAAATTCCATTGACAGGTTTCATATGTCGCAACTGGTTAATGCAAGTGTTATACAAATGTTTAAGTCAAACGCGTTATATGGCCGTACGGGATCCCTTCTTTAAAAAATAAAAAATAAACCCTTTGGTACCAGAAATCTTAAATAAATCCAATACAAACTAAAATTGGTATACCTTACAATAATATGTTCTGAATACAGCTGTTAGAAGTTTATTCTGTGTGAATGATGATTGTCATAAATGTTTGTTTTGGTTACTCATTTTGAAGTGCGCAGTTTAATTGTCATGTATGTTAATGGGTATTTTGCTGTGTTATTTTAAATTATTTTTGAATAAGTTTGTCTTAGTATTGATACAGATGAAAATGGCAGCGTAATAATCTATTAAATAACTGATTTATTATTGAATACTAGTCCAAGAGCAATATGAGTTGTAGTCTTAAGAAAGAAAAAAAAGGAGGGAGTCTGTTTTTGTAAATTTTAGCTGATTTCCAAAATTCTGTTGCAATAATGGACTACCTGCCAAAATTTGACTTTCCTGTCTAGTTGCCAGGTGCTCTGATCTAACCTTAAAATAGTACTGCTTGCATAGTTTGCAGACATGCATAATGCACAAACATGAGAACCAAATTATGTCCGTCACATAGTGTGACATTTATTAATTTATTTTGGATTGAGTTAATTGCCTGTCCATGAATATGCTTTTTGTATTGGCATGTCTGCTGGATATCTGCTACATGTTTTCTGTGCTATAAGATGATGTGTGATATTACAATGAGTATGAAGAATATTTAAAGAATATTTGCATGTCATTAACGCAAGCCTTTAGTGTCTTTTTACAACAGATTAAAAAACGCTGATCAGCCAACAAGAAATGGGCCCCTGGGAAAGAAAAAGAAAAAATATATAATTTGCTTTTCAAAATCGTGGATCCACGTTTCAGTATTATTAGGGGAGTATTTAGAGTTAACGCTACTTTTAAAGTGCATTGCATTATTTAAGAAAAGAAAAATGTGTTATGTTATATGGTTATACAACAAGAAAAATTATGGATGTATAGGATAGGTTTTTTCCAAGATTAAGATTCATCTAGTATGCCTCATTGATTATAGGAAAATGATGAAATGGTATTTTTAATAGAGATCAGATAATTTCTTTTGAGGCAATTCTAAACTACTGTATTATATTTGTATTGGTATATTGAAAGCATTTTGCAGACCCAGAAGAGAATAAATAATATAATAATTATAAAAGGAACCATACTATGGGAAGAGGTCACCCTATTAAATTACTAAGGGGTTAAACTCATTTTGATAAGCATATAAAATTTAGTTTTTGTGGTTAGAATTTTTGATACTCAATTTGAACTCAATTGAAGTATTACAACCATATCCTTGCAGGTATAGGAAACAGCAATATGCAATATGATTTTAATATTTGCAATATATTAGTGTTCTGACAATGGAAAAGTTCCTAACCACATGTCTGTATTACACCTATGACCCAGACTGTCAGTATTGCAAACCCCATATGAAGACTCTGCTTTCACTGTTTATGTATACACCCCTAGACAACCGTGCTATACAAACACAAATCTTCAAAAGCTTATTAATATTATATCTGTGTGGTACACAAATAGGTGTACACAAAGAGGGGGTGTGAGTTAAGTCATCTCGACCTTCATATGGAATATGCTTCCTCCTTGTTCACTTTTGGTCAAACTGTTGGTCTGTGACTGGCCCTCTTTGAACTGAATTTCTTGGGAAGATTCATGAGAAAGATACAGCAGGTTGTTTTGATATAAAGAAAGAGGGAAAAGTATGTTGTATCGGTCACAAAAGGATTGTGATCTTAAGCAGGCGAGACAAAGAAAGTTTGGAGGTGATAGATTGAATCAGAAAAGTTTTAGAGGCAGAGGTAGAGAATTTGATCAAAGGATTTAACTTTTGTAGAGATGGTAACTTCAGCACTGTTTTAATTGTTGGTAGCAGGGATTCACCCCAAGGTGCTTGTGTTCTCCTGGCCCAGCTGGCATTCAAGGACTCCCACCCTGGCAGGTTCCTCAATACCAACCACAACTTTCAAGCTATACCCACACCCAACAACCTCAGCCTAATACACAGATGGTTCATGTTTTTAATACTTTATATATAGTTTTGATAGATAAAACAGTATTAATGCTGGCTCTTAGAGGATGTACAAGTTGAAGTTGGGACCTAGACATTGTTTGCATAGGCTGTGCAATGTGAAATAACTAAAATAAAATAGGATAATAAGTATGCTTAGTCAATTTGTAAAGTGGTATAATAGAGGCATCTGCAATAAATTAAGTGGGTTTCCAAGACCTGACAAGTGAGAGCAACTTAATATAACATATGTCTACAGTTTGCTGTCCCTTCCTTATCAGAGGCCACTTGCAACACAGCAAGACAACTCTTCCTAAACTTGTATTAAACAAAGCACTTTAGAACAATAGTAATTTATTTTGTTTCTCCTATTTCATTCCTAGTTGTTCTGAAAAAAAATATATTGTTTAAGTGGGATAACTGTATGGAGGTTCCAACATGTATTAAAACATGATCACACACATCGGGATCTATAAAAGGTTTCGGTTTCCAAAGATGTTATCAGGGTCCACAAAATTTTATTAAAGTAATTAATTGAGATTATCAAATCAAGGTTTAAGTTTAAGAACAGCATTTTATTGGGAATTATACCAATATGTATATGTTAGTGTTTTAGTACTCAACAAGCATTTATATAGAATGAGTGCTTCTCTCATCCATACAAAGGCATTCTAAAGGGAAATTATGTATTAAAATTTTATAAAGGACATAAACAAAACTGAGAGACATACATGTTACACTAGTTAAGAGTTTAACTTTAGTCTCTAATTTGAGTTTAGCCTAGATAATTAATTTATTGATGTCGTACTGATCCTTGTGTTTGTATGATTATAGAGACCGTACTGGAGTATTTGTGCTGCCTGATATTTGGGACTACACACCAATCTCTCTGGCTGACCTACCTGCCTACTTACCTTTTTTGCAATTAAATCTGTTTGGTCAAAAACCATGCTGGCCGAAGAAACTGAGATGCTTACTTATGAGGACATAAACTAACTTGGAAAGTCCTGAAGATGCAGTGCTGTCTAATGCCGCTATTTCTGTATTACCCTTTCAACAATTGGGGTGTTGCACAGAGTATTGTGGTGAACATCCAGCAAACAGAAGAATTAAGAACTATGTGGAAGCTGACATTGTCTTGTTGTCAGCCATATTGCTACCCTTAGCTATGTTATGGTGTCTAAGATTATGGAACAAAGTTTATGGTGTCTAAGATTCTTTATACTCCTTGAAAGACTTATAATATTTTTCTGGACTATGCTGGACTATTGAACTATTTTGTTATTTTTATTTTTGTAGAGTTAGCCGGAGAGAGAGGAAGTGTTAGCTTACTCAGGCATGGATGTACTATGTGTGTCATTGATGTATGTTGAGTGTACCAAGGATGGATTCCAAGGTATTAAGTGTGGATATGACTGGACTATCGAAATAGGGATTTGATTAGGAGGCATAGGACGCAAGGTCATGATTGGGATTATTGCTAGAATTGCAAACTGATTAGAAATGATCTCATGATTTAATATGTAAATGGGCCTTTTGAAACTAATCAAGAAGTGTTTCCCAATCCCGATACCTGAGCTATTTACTTACAAGTGCAGGTTTTATAAGTCACTAATGCTGTCAACGTGAGGGGATGACATGTCTACACAGTCATGGCCCTCATTTAGAATTTACCCAGATGTGCTTTTTTTCTCAATTATGAGTTTTTGCCACTGGGATTTTTGACCTGGCCCAAGTTCACTGGGTGGACTGGTAATCCAAGACCCTGGTCCAAAGAGGGGAAATAGATTTTATTCCCATTTTTGATTATATGTGTTTACATTGTGAATTATAATAATAATATTCCCGTTGTTGGGAATAATACACTTTGCCTGTTTTGATCCAAGGCTCAAGTTGCAGATAACATGATGTGCAGTATGTTTAAAATTGGTTAAGATGTCAGCTGTTTGAAATATTTAACTTGTACACTTAAAAGATGTGTACAACAGATGATTACAGAAGCTGAAAATCGACAGCTCGATCTCCTCTTAAAGGGAAAACCTACGGCATAGAGCAAATGGGGGAAATCGAGGTGAAGAAATAAGGAAAGTCCCGCAGACGTGATTAGCACGTCTGAATATACCTCCTTTCGTTTCTCTGCCGCAGGCCTCCCATGGATATTCCATAAGGTAGATCATGATATGATCTAAGAGGGGAATTGTAGATGCGAATATCCATTTTGCTCTATATCCTAACTGTTCATGTAAGGGTTAATTTGAATCAAGAATAAATTTGGAATTGTATCTCATGTCACAATGACTTATCTATTTACGGGAAATGTTATTGGAACATGATTTTGTTATTTACATGACATGACATGACATGATAAGGATTCTGGAATGACCTTGTTAATTGTCCAAGATTTCTGTATTTGTAATCATCTGGGTTTTATCCAATATGCATACATTATGTAACATCGAATTATAACTAAAAACAGCTGTTTATAACTTGTGAAAAACAATGTCATTGTCACGCCCATATGGTCATTTTCCCCCCTCCCATCCTGCTATGAAAATGGGTTATAAATATAACTGACGTATGAATACAATTTGAATTGGTTATTGAACACGTCTCTGCTATTCATTTCCAATTTCCAGAGCTCTGTATGAGTTGGCAAATATCCATCATCCACAAAGGGCCCAGGCTGATTTTATCCCCAACAGTATTCTATTCATGTCCTGATTGGTTTTGTAGGTGAAACCAATGTCTTCTCTAGTTAGAGAGAGAGAGAGAGAGAGTGTGTGTGTGTTGATTTTAATTCACCTTGCAAAAATATTTCATTGTAGCTAGTAATTGACAGCAAGGCTAGGTGGGTATGAAATGTTTAGATTGGGTGGAGGCACTAAGTTATGTTATGTCATTATGTCATGGAAGCACAGCTGAGCTTGTATCCTCCCGACTCTGGACCACATCTGAGCAATAAGAGGAAGAAGTGTCACTGAATAAGTTCCACAAATCACTTGCAAGTGGCACGTCATCTCCACAAAGGGGTTTGTGGAGATACATGTTATTGTTTTGCCTCTAAATGTGGGGCCTGGGTTTAGGGCCCAGCTGGTCCCTTCCTAATGAAGATGTTTTTCATTCACAGTTTTGTGTAAAATAATGGAGTTAGTTGTCAACAAAACTCACTGTTTAGAAAATAAGCCCTCAAGTGTCATCTAATCTTAACCTAAAATGTAGCAGTTACTTACATTAAATATACACAGAAAAAGGGAATTGGGGAGCAGACATGGAACATGCATATCTCAGCAGTAATGCTGCTGTATATACCAAACTTTATACAAAATATCACACACAAAATATATATATATATATATATATATATATATCTTTAACTTTTACAAGGCTATAGATAAACACCTATCTTAGCACACACATTCTGGGTTTTTGTTATACCATATGGCCATGTAGTGTTAATTCCACCACTACCTCAATAGTAGTACCTCAATATCAATGAGTCCTACACTAATAACATGATATATAAACATGCTGACTGCAATACTTACTGCTTACATCTATTTACATCAAAGATGATAAATCTGCTTAAATCTATTTACCTCAAATATGACGTATTAAAATACTGTAAATATTAGTAGTTGTAATAGTAGTGAATAGTAAATAATTCCAGTAACATGTCTTAAATGTTAAAATAAAATAGTTGAGTGTCATTTTATATAAATTAAAAATAACCAAAAAAGGGAAATATGTTTAACATGTAGATTTGACTGTTATATTTTTTATTAAATCACTTAATTGCTATCTCAAAAAGTTAAACCATCTCCATCAAGAGGTGGGGGGGGGGGCGGAGAAGAGAGGGGAAAAGGGAATAAGAAAACAAAAAAATAAACAAAATGCAAACAAAAACATGGGAGACTGAAATAGAATAAGCAACAACAATAACTCCAAGTATTTGAGGCCATGAATTACCTGCTGCTGCTCTCTATAATAAAACAGCAGGAGTTCATGTACAGAACACAGGATGCTTAAATGAAGATACATTTAGTACGGATAGCAATAACTCCTCGTAATGGATTTGAGTACTTCAGGAAATCTTTCAAATAGGGTAGTTTTCAGTAATTTTGTCGAAAATCATTTTGTATCTGCCAGACAAATTGATTTCCAAAATCGGTAAGCGTTTACACTCACAAAAATATGTTCATGTTTCTTCTAGGCAGTGCAATTTTATATTTAAAATATTAAATAATTTCAGAATATCAAGGCTATGAATCGTACTTGGTTATCAGTTTGCATCTTCCGTTAAGTAAATTTCCAGAAGCTAATAAAAGTTTTGCACGATGCATAGGTTACAGTTTAGAGAGTTGTGGATTTGGGGTTTGCAGGAGCTGTAAGCCATAATCATCGCACTTATAACAAATCACGGCTTGAACTATCTTGCTTTGCATTTAATGCGTCTATCTCATATATTTGTTTCACCTTTTACGTTGCATTACTGAAATAAATGAACTTTTTGCACGATATTCTCATTTTTTGAGTATCACCTGTACTATATATAATCTCACAAATAACATTTACAAGTGTAGCTCACAAAAATACTCTCCTTAATAATAATGGGAATTCAGCAAGATGGTTTCTGAAGATGAAAAGAAAAACATAGACATCTTATAGTGTAGTAGATATAGCACAATATAGCAAATGCAATAATAATCAGACCCACTCACGTGGTCCAGTGCTGAGAACAGGCTCTGTGAAAAAAGTTTGAGGGCTCCCCATTCACAGGCATGGATGAAGTAGAGAAGATATACAGGAAGCAGGAACCAACCAGTATTCCAATAAAAGGTATATTTATTGCATGAATGGAACTGTAAATGAATGCTGAACTATTTATCCCATAAATCCCTGCACTAAGCCCACAGGTCAAAATGAGAGGAGCCTCATTGGTGGAATATCTTCATTGACTGTAATTAGCATTGTTTAACAGGAGCTGCAGAAAATTGTGAAAATTTGTAAATGTCGGGATCGTTTACCTCTACTCGAAATTAGTTTCTGAATTTGTCAGTTTACTCAATTCTTCTGATCCCTGGTATGCTTTGACCTTGGCTTGTTATAAAATGTATCTGTAGCTCTCCTGACATTGACCTCGGCATTCTCTGTCTCCTGTTAGCCCGACCATTCTAAGGACTGGTATACGGACGGTCAATTATTGTGTTATAGTCTGCACATCATCTCTGAGCCTAACAGTACATTTTCTCTTTCATTTTTTTAATAATTTTTTTTTGCACATAATTTAATAAAAAGTGTAGAGTGTACCTTTAATAGTTCTGCTGTTGACAACAACAACAATTTCTTTCTACTTTACTAATGAAGCTTCATCGAGGACATAAAATATGAATTGAAGTCAAGAAATAGTGATCGATGCTTTCAATATGAACTAAAATAAACCAACGGCAGTGCAGGTTGTGATTTCCCACAAGAGCCACGTGTGGTTCAAAGAAGTGACCCTCTGACAATGAAAGGTTAAAATGATATAGTCCTGATGAATTACTTTGCTAACACAGGAAGGTGTTATCCCTCAAGAATACCATGGTTTTCTATTTGTCTAAATAAAATTGACAACCTACAATATGATAACATAAATTCTAAAATAAACTCAAGTAAAATTCAAGGCGAAACTTTTCTTGAAGATGATGATACTAAAATAGACAGACTTTTTTTTTTACTCGTATACTTTCTAGTTGCATTCACAGACTAAATAATTATTATTAATATGTGTATATTATAAGTTTGCCTTATCTAGATTATTTCGAGATCACCAATATTAACTCACTTGATTTCAATATTTATTAATTCGCATTTATTTTCCCTCTACAGAATGGAGAAAGTAAAGGGAGCAAACTGGTTACCTACATTTTGCTTACGTTCTACAGCTCTTCTGAAATTAAATGGCAATTAGACCTTACATTAAATATCACTACAACAATTGCACTGCACAAGACAAATGCACCAACTTTGGGTTCTTTGATAGGAGACATTTGGCTCAGACACTAATATATCATGAGGGTAATGCTACATTATATGCTTTAACAAATGCACAGTGTGAATAACATAGTGCAGCATGGGGACCTAATTTTAGGGCAAAACAAGGACATACAAGTCCCAGATTGCTTATGATTAATGAGGCTTACAATTCCAGGCAGCATCCTTTTAGTTAAAGCTGTGGCCATTGATTCAGCTCCTCAAGTGAAACTGTGCTGGGAGATAAGCTAGACTTGCTCTTCAAGCTTCCTGGAAGTGTATATCTAACCAACCTTCTGTAGACTTGGCCATAAATGTCTTGGTGCTTGCTATTGTCTTAATAGGAGGCTGAAAGCATAAACTGATGCTTTCATTTAATCAGCATTTTGGCTAAACCTTCTTCATACAACATGTAGAGAAAAGGGAAGCCAAGGGGCAGCAGTGTTGGGTGTCAGAACCCCAACTCTGGGGTTAAACCATTGCAAAATGGTTACATCCCTGAAGGTAAGATGGCACCTGGGTCCCAATTAACAGAATTATAATCCTTTCCAAACCCTAATGTTAAACATCTTGTAAAAGATTCATAATGTTGGAGTGTGTGATGACAAAGCAATACCATCTCAGGATTCAGGAGCCATTCATAAGCTACTCAATACTTTGTCTCCTGGTTTATTATAATCTTCCCAGAAGCCTTTAATAGTAATATTTTTCCCATAACGCATGCTTCATGGTTATGTATACTCTATATGTTATATTATTAAATAATGATTTTTACTATTAAAAAAAACTATGTTAAACATTTTCTGTTTGTGAAGAATTGATTTAACATTCTATAAGGTTTGCTAAATTTAAGCCAAAAAGTCACTTTGGAAATATTGCTATGTTGGCTTAAAGGTTTAAATTCACTGTTATCCGCTGCTTACTGAATACATCAAAATGAGAGGGGTGTGTGTTTACTACCAGGGTTCTTCACTAAAGTAAAAACTGCAGCGAATTCAAAGTGAATTTCTATATAGAAGTCAAAATAGCTGAACTAGGAAACATTCTCGC